GGGAAAGATCATTTTCAGAAGTGTTCCAAACCTATTTCTGGGGCATTAGCAGAAGGAGACCTACACATACTAATTTTAACAAGTGCCATATTATTTACTGGGCAGCATGATACAAATGGGGTTTTTTGCTTGCGTTAAATAGTTGAATACAAGCACTATTTTCCAGTGCACGGGGAATTTATATGGAGAACTCCTGTCATTTATTCCTAATGGAAATTGACTGTGTTACCTCTCTCATCCATGAGGATACAGTTTATTTTTGCTGGAGATGCAATGTTGTTAGGGGAAAAGGGAGGGTGACCATTTGGAAAGTAGGTTAAGGCTAAGGTAAATATGATGCCGGAGCAAGGGAGAAACCCAAGTCCCACTCTGGAAAGCCAGCTAGGAGTCTTTCCTAGTATCTCTTCCCAGTATCTTTCAGTGGGACTTAGGTTCCCAAGTGCCTGAATTGCTTCTGGAAATGGTATGTTATCTTTGAGATGACTTGCTTTTCTGAACCCTAGCAAGTTGGAAGGAAGTTCTTGAAGACAAGAACTACCACTAACTAGCATTAGCAATATGCAAACGTGTGAGGTAAGAGGGAAGAGATCCTTTAGTGAAGTACAGATCTCCTCTTGGGGCAGTAATTGCCTTGTTTTTAGCGTGAAGAGTATTGCATTATTTTAGTGAACTGGGATCATATGAGTGTGATCAAAAAACCAAACCCATCTTGTAATTTTTAGTGACTTACCTTGAAGCATATAAATTCCTGATGTGCATTATCTTGAGTGAATTGGGCCTTAATGATCCATGTAAATAACAAAAATGTATTCAGATATTTTTTTCCAGAAAAAATAGTCTCTAATGGTCTGTACTGTATTAAAATAAGTGTCAAAGTGTTACTTTTATATTACACTTTTTTTTTTTTAGGACACTGAAATGTGCATGTTTATTCTATTTGCTACAGTATTTTAATGTTTTGGATGAAGGCCATCAGTTGTATGGAGATGACAAAACAATCATTCTGTCTATTTATTCAGTATTGCTGCTTAAAGTTTTCAAAATAAAGCTTTCAATGCCGATGTAGTGACTGATTGAAAGCTGTTCTAGCTCTCTTCAGGTGTTTTTTTCTATGTTTATAGAAAAGCTAAATAAGTGAAACTTGGTATATAAACTGCTATACCAGCAAAGAATTACTGCAATAATATTGGGGGGTTGGGGGTAAGTGTATGTAGTATATACAGAAATGTATGCATGCAGTGAATGCCTTTAGGTCCCAAGTGAGTGGAGCGCTGAAGAATGTTAAATCCTTTGTGGTTTTGGAAGTACTTTGCACATGTGATCAAGTACTGGTTGGTGCTTCATGCCCATGTGAGGTGCTTGTGAGGGCAGAATAAGCAGAGGTGGTCACAAAGTGTCAACTCTTTGAACCCAGTGGGATTTAAGCACATTCTTGAGTGTTCCATGGATGTGTTCCTGACTGGGGCCTAAAAACATGTTCTGATACAAAAGTCTTTCAGTTATAGTGAGGATGCCTCAGGCATAGCTGGTACCTCTGAAAACCTTAGTAGTTCTGAAATGGATCGAGTGCTCCTGCTCTACTTGTAAAGGGTATCAATGCAGAGAGTCTTCACCCTCACAATCATCCTGTGAAACTACCAGCTAGGGGTTCTGACTGGAAGATTTGAGTTGCTGATGCTTTAACCTAGAGAAGCAACACAAACTAACTGTGAAAACACGAGTGAGCATTTTATTACTGCTCTGCTTCAATGCAAGATGAAAATCTGTATTATATGTAACTATATTTTTTGTCATTTAAAAAAGCTTCTATTTTTTATTATTCTCATGAATGGTTGACAAAAGATATTGGATATGCTCCCATACAATAAATTCCCCTCTGAAACTTTGGGTCTTTACAGTTCATGGTTTGCCGGAATTGTACCGTTCACCTTGCGCACGTCTCATGGTACAGCTGCTGGGACTGTCAGAAAGCACTGAGCCTGCAAGCAGGGCCAAGGTAAAACCTGATGTGTCTACAGCTCAGGTGCTCTCAGCTATGGCCCAGTGCCAAGAATGAGGACACAGTGAACTCTCATAAATGGCAGTTTATTTGGAGGTGTGGTTGGTGTGGTCTTAGCTGGTTGGTGTGGAGCCTCTATGGCAGAGCTCCTCTGCTGTAAGTGTGCACGTACTGTGATGTCAATCAGATAAAGCCCAGGCACTGCAAGAGAGCACAGTAGCTTATTTCAGCTGAGGAACTAAGATGAATATTAACCCTGAAAAGATAGAATTGGTCAGCAACTCAGAGGAAGTGTAGCAGCAAAGAGGCAGAGGTTTGCCTCGAGGTGATCAGGGAGGGGAATTGAATGTAGAGAATCTTCACACAACAAATGCAGGGGGCACTGATGCTTCAAGGAGAATTTCTTTCTCAGGGAGAAAAAAATTAAGCTTTGAACAAGGAACTGAAGCCCCAATTCAAGTGTAGTTATTGTGCTGAAGACCAGAGGTCACATGAAGATTGCTTGAGATGATTTGAGCTAATCAAGGCAGGGAACTTGCTACAGTTGGAGACTTGTGATTTAAGCCATCAAATGCAGTCCTTAGTCTAATATCCCAACAAATGGATTTTCCTAAGCTAACTGGAGCCTAATCTCATTAGATGTGAGGAGAAATGAGCTAACCATAGTAGCACCGTGGATTGTCGATAAGACAATATCATGAACTTCACTGAAACCGTAACACGTGGCACTCGTGTTGTCAGGACCATGTAAGTTGTGGAGGCCCT